ATTTCCTTCTTAGCTTTTTTATTCTCTCTTTTGAATGGTGTGTAAATGTGGTTTATCTCAATGTGTCTATTGATGGCTGATTTGTCTGAGTGCCAAGCTTCCAGGAATTCCCTAGTGTTTTTGGATTTAGCTTGGTCTAGGATGCTCACAGCTTCCCAGTTGAAACTATAGTTAAGTCTGTCAACTGGTAATGAAAGATCTGCTAGCAAACAACCAAGCTCAGAGAACACCACGGTTAACCTCTAAGCTACACATATTCTCTTCTATTGGAAGTATGTTCTATATCGGGGAGCTGTGACTACTGTTTCCTCAAAATATAAAAATAGCTAATTTAAGCACTGTATTTAAAATTTTGACTAATGTAACAAACATTTCCCAACAAGTGTCCACCAGATGTAATACAACTGAAACTCTCAGAATTCCTAACCATTGCATCTGGAGGGTTCCAGGTTGGACATCCCATGGTGTTCTCATTCACAATAATATTAGATATGCTAGGGTAATAAGGAATATTCTAAATTGTTTGTTGAAAATGCCCTTTGGGGGAAGTTGAGCTCTCATTTTAGCATAGCAGATCAACTGTTTTTGGCTGTAGTACAATAATATGTCTCTCACCAAAGTCCTGTTCCAATGGACCTGGGGACACTGTTGATTCTGTATGGCGATAAGGTAAAAAGTTGTGGTTGAAATTCCAATACTGTCTTTATCATAAGCAAAGGCATGGTTTACATTTGGGATGATTCTGTAAGGAATGGTGAGAAATGTATGAGTTGCTTGAATAGTAAGAGTTAGCTTTGAAGCAACTTTGTACAGTAGCCTATTTAATGTTGTATTGGCCCCACCACGTCTGCAAGGGAAAGGCAAGGCAAGAGATCCTTAAGTCTACTAGGGTGTAGAAATAAGCTGCAGTTCTGGATTATTTTTCTGTCCCTAACAAAATGTGATTTCTCTTTTACCTTGACCAAGGGTGGTATTTAGTAATCCTTGGACGTTATATAAGATTGCTGCTTCTCATATATCAGTGATTATGTTCCGTTAAGTCCAAAAACAGAGAAATGGAATTCAAGAAGCATTTTGAGGCAATTTACAAATAAGGCAATCCTGTCCTTATTACAAGGAACTTAGGAATAGTAAGTCTGATTGTTCTCCACTGCCTCTCATCATACCAATCCTGGGAGTTGCATTAGCCTGAGAGTTACTAATCAAACTCATTCATTGAGATCCATGTCTGAAGGAGGGTATGAACTCTGCCAAGCACAAATTTTCTTTCTCATTTAAATTAAAAGTGACTATCTAACCTATGCTACCAATATGGTTATAGCTGTTGTAAGAGTTAAATAAAATCCCTCAGATGTACTGTTTTTGTACAATTTATTTGCAAGTCATTAATTCAAACCCTTGCTGAACACTGGGTATTCCTCACCTCCACTCCACTCTTCTAAAAACACAACACGAGTTCCTCTACAAGAGAGAACTTGTTTCTGTGGTTCAACTCACCGAAGATATTTCTTTCCTTTTAGCTGATTAAAATAATAATTGGAATTGTCAGGCTGGCAGATTTCATCTCCTGATGCCACAAGTAGGTACTTTGTTTTGTTTGCATACTGCTCATTGTATTCTGGGAACAGGAAAAGAAAATAAAGGAAGGTGTATGTCTCAGCCTTGCCTTAAGATGAGCAGAGAGCAAAATGGGATAGGGTTAGTTGTTCAAAGCAAAAAGAATAAAACTGTTTTATCTATTTCATTTGGCCACCCATCCATGCCTTATGTATGTCAGCCCTTCAAGGTAGACCAGGACACCAAAGTCATGAATGCTAAAGCTACTTTTATTAGAGGATCACAGTAACAGAATCTTGCATCTCTGAGGGTGCCTCCCCCTTCCTTGCCTTTATCTTAGAGAGAAACTAGGGCCGGAGACGCTTTCTCAAATTCCATTCCTGATTTGGGCTCAGATTTCTCTTATCTGGCTGTTGCCTTGGTTGTGGCTCTTCCTCCTCTTCCTCAAGGTTATTCATTCTCACGGCCCATCACAGTATGTCTCAGTTTCTTTTACATACTCTGCATCCTCCTAAATCCATTTGTATCCTCCTGAATGCCACAGTCCTATAATCTAGACCTTCATTAACTCCTCCCATTAATTGTATCTTTAGTGGTGCTTACTTACTCAAAGGGTCCACATTTGAAGCCATGAGTTCAAAACGGGGATCATCAATCTGTCGAGTCACATTGAACAGGTAGAAAGGTGCCAGTGCAAAACTCCAGCCACAGTATGATCTGTACTGGTGATGGAAATTCTACAAAAGGTTACAGCCATGAGCTTTTGATGCAGTGAAGGGAAGCTTGACAAAGAGCTAGATTAGTGGCGCTAGTTTTTTAAGTAGCTGACTCCTCAGTCAGGTGGGCAAGCCAATTCTGCAAGCACTGGACATTGTTGAGCTCTTGGGGTCCTGTCAACAATCCTGGTTCAACCCATATTGTAGCATAAATGTCAGCTTTTCCCAACCTGGTGCCCTCCCTCTGTGAGAACTGCAACCCCCTGAAATTCTCAGAGAGCATGACATTTGGCCTTGCTATGAGCTAGATAGGCTACACAAAAGGAGAAGTCTGGTAGCATAAAGCTCTAGTAAGAGATATCTTCTTCAAGGGATGTTTTAGTTAGGATTTTTGGAAACTGCATCTATCTTTTTAGTGACACATCAGATAACTTTTCTCTGCTTTGGAGCAAATGCCCATTTTCAAAAATTTTTATTCTATTTTTGAGTGAAGAAACTGAGATGATAATTTCACCGAACTTTTCCATGGACAAAGGAGAAATTTCCAATGATTTTTAGGACAGTCTAGGTGTCCTCCTTAAAAAAAAACCAAACGGAAAAATTTGTTTTATTTATCGTTATCTGGCTGCCATTTTGTATTTTCTATAAGGCCGTCACCTTACTATTATTCTAGGATATTGGGAGGTGGTCGGTGATAGTTGCCACAGAAATTGTTGAAAAAATCTGCAAAGTGGCCTTCTTTTGGGGAAGAGACCTGAGAACTTTGTGAACTTGCATTTAATAATATCAAACCTTGAAACAAAACGTCCCCTCTAGTTTCTGCAATAATTTGTAAGCCTATATGTTCAAGTGCAGAGATTTAGATTAATATCTCAACTCAGTTTGAACTGAATGGAGATGTGACACATAGACAGGGAAGCATTGGCATTGATCTGAGAGTAGCTTTGACAGGACCCAGCTTTCAAAATAACATTTTCCCCACTAAAATGAGAGCCAGCAACATTTTTTAAAAGGATTAGCAGTAGGCAGCTTGGTGCCTTCCATTGTTTTGGACTACAACTTCCCCAGTACTTTCCCACTGGCTGTGCTGGTAAGGACCATTGTGAGGTCAAATCCAGAACACCTAAAACAGGTTGCTTACCCCTCTTCCACCATAACCCAGATTTATTTATTCCAGCAGCTGAAATCATCCATTTAATGTCTGGGACCAGCAGGCTTTGATTATATATTCTAAGCTGCTCAGCTTTATAATTATGGAACTCCTTCAGAAAGATAAAAAGCTCTATATGCAAAATCTGGAGAAACAGAAGATTTCTTCTGTCACAAGCCTTGTCCAAGTCATCAAGGAGAGCCAATCCAGTATGCACAAAGTACAGGTGCTTAAGGAGTGCAGCTGAAAACTCTCACCTCAACAAAATTCAGGAAGTCCATAACGACTGAGACAAATGACACCACACGCTTGTCAATGGCTGCAGTCAGCCAAGCGATCCATCCACGCTAAGGGGAGAAATGGAAAGATGAAGAAGAGCTGCTGGAAATAAACTCAAGAATCTTTCTGAACTATTACAGCTTAGGCATGGGTGGCCTTTTAAATACCTTAATGAAGAAAGACAGTGATGAGGAGTACTTTTTTTTTTTACAACTGCATGACCTCCAACAAAAAAACCCACACCACTACCCTATCACATTAAACACTATTTGTAGATCTATACACATTTCTCTCATAACATGCATACACACGCCTGTGGGATTTTTGGCTTTTATACTGGTCAAAGTGGCATCAGCTGTCCTGGTAGTAAACTTTAAAATTTGTGCTGGCAGCCACCAGAGAATGAAGAAAGATTTGGAAATGTAACGCAGGGCTCAGCTGATTGTTTTGCCTCCTTTGCTTTCTTCCCACCTTCCCACCTTCCACTTCACCACCATGTAGACTCTTGGATGCCAGACAAGTCAAGCATGCACCAATTATCATACTTGGGCTGCAAAGGTCCAGATGACCACTAGATGGTAACAAAGAGACACAGAAAACTCTTTGTTGTCATCTAGAGTTCATCTGAAGTTTTGCAGCCAAGTTATGCTAGCTCTACAAAAGAGGAAATAGAAGCAGAGGAGACAAAGGGTGGGGGGATAAAAGGGGGATCCACCAGAGGGTGGATGGAGGGCACACTTTTAAAAAATCCAGACTGTCCAGCCATCTTACTTAGGCCTTGGCCCTCTGAGATACCTTAGATGAGCCCACAAGCATAAATTCAGTGATTTGAACATCTTCACCAGTCTGTTTCAGCAAGAAATCTGTGACCGTGTCTATGGCTCGCACAGTGGCCTGCATAGAAAGACAGCAGGATTATAGTTTCTGCAAAGATATTGGCTTCAATGCAGATCTGGCACGGTACATTCAAAGCATCAGCATAAACATGTTTAAATATATATGTTTAATAGGCTCCTGGTTAAAACCAACATCTTTCTGCTGAAATGAGGAAAACGGAACAAGCAGTGCTCAACATGTCAGACAGCAAAGCAGCACTGCTCCTAATATTGTAAGTTTTATTCACTTCCCATAACGTGAAAGGTTTCTCATCATCTTCTATGTTAACTAAGTGTTTGGTGGCAATGCCAAGCTAATTTTAAATGGACCACAAAGGTTTATTTAGGTGCATGTATTCAAAAGTCCTGTCCTTCTTTTCTAAGTGTGATAAGTACAATTTGTTTGCTAATGACTTTTGATTATGTCTTCCTAGGAAGAGAACAACATTATTTTGGAGATCTTTTTATTGTTCACATTTGTGAACACTTTGTCTGAGAATGCTTTCTTTCTTCTTTCTTCTCACTGGCATTAAGCACTGCTGACATTAAATAGAAAGGAGTTTTCTACAGCTCACAGGATAATTACATTTGCTCTACAAACAAAGGCATTAGGAGAATGTATAGCTGCAAAAGTCATCTGTCCTCTAGAAAATTGTCACTGGGTTCAACAGTCACACTGTACAGTAAATATGGGAAATCTGTGGTCCTCTATATGTTGTTGGATTACCAGTCTGTCTTTCCTGTTCATGCTGGCTGAGGTTGATGGGTATTAGAATGTAATAATTTCTGGAGGGTCCCAAGCTCTACAACCCTATAGTAAAGAATGTAAATTTCAGAATTACCTTGACCATTGGGAATTGCATGAGCCAGTCCAATGAAGTGGTTGGGTCATTAATAAATCTCCATGAAACATATGCAAATAAGCTATTTTCTGTAATATCCTTTATCCCAAGAGGGTGTTTCTGGAAATAATAATAATAATAATGAGAAGGAGGAGGAGGAGGAAGAGAATGGTCATTTTCTGTTGTACAAAATAATGGCAGTTACTACTACTTGCTCCTATGAAGGAAGGACTGTCTTTTGGTCTACCTCCCAGCATCTCCTGTAAACTTCTTAGCACCCAACCCAGCCTCTTTGATCAGCAAAAGAATTTTAACCAATAATTTACAGTCGTACTTGTATTTTTCTCTTCAACTGCAGTCTAGAAAAAGAGGAAAAGTATGTGAGATATAATTGCATGTCTGTAACTAGAGTGTATTGCTCTTATAAAAGTGATGCAAGTACAGGTAGTCCTTGCTTAGCAGCCACAACTGGGACCAACAACTCCATCACTAAGCAACATGGTCGCTAAGCAAAACATCACATAACCACGACAGACTCACTTCCCATTCAGTCATTAAGCTAGTCACCGTGAGTCATTAAGCAAGCCATCACATGACCACAACTTGCAATTTTACTGCTGGCTTCTCTGTTGATTCTGCTTGTCAGAAGCTGGTTGTGAAATGAGCAAATGGTGATCATGTGACTGCAGGACGCTGCAATGGTTGTAAATACCCACCGGTTGCAAGTGCCCAAATGTCAATCATGTGATCACAGGTACACTGCGACAGTCATAAGTGTGAGGACTAGTTGTAAAGTTAGTTTTTCAGTGCCATCATAACTTTGAACGGTCACTAAACAGGGCACTTGTTAAGCAAGGTCTACCTGTAAGATGAGATTAAGAAGGAAGATACATTGTTGAACTCTTTTGAGGCTAAAGAGATCCTGTTTCCTTAGTCTCTTCTCCTGAAATGCATTTTCAATCCCCTTGATGCCTTTGTTCCTGCATCTGTTCCTGCTGCCGTGAAAACTCCATGCAATATTTGAGTTGGAGAATATGATAGAACTACAGTATTATTTCTCATGTTTTGAAAGGCTGCTCAGTCCATATAAAGTAAAGTACCAGAAAAAGAGAGAATTGGTAGAGCTCTGAAGTTGCAGACCAACGTTTAGCATCTACCCAACAGCCATATGTGTGCGTGTGCATGTGCGTGTGTGTGTGTGCATTCATCCATCTAAGCTACCATTGTACAGTGGTACCTCGGTTCATGAACGCTTCTGTTCACGAACAATTCGGTCACGAACAGCACTGTTCGCAAAATTTTGCTTCCGTTCACGAACTCTGCATCGGGTGACGAACAGGATCCGCGGCCATTTTCCCTGCTGACACATGTGGTCGTGGCTTCCTGTAGGCGAGATCGCGATAGCAGACAGACGTCCTGTGAAGCTTTTTGGTGTGCTTTTTAGCATGGCTCCAAAGAAAGTGCAGAGCAAGCA